TTGAAGGAAACTGTCAATTTTGTTTATTTCTATTTGAATAAATGAAGTTTAATTCAAAAGAAAGTAATTATTCTATTATTCGAAAATTCCACTATTCAGCCATTTTTCAACCAGTCTCTCTATTAATTCAAATACGGGAGTCTTTATATATAATAATATGGTATCAAAATAAAACTTTTTATAATATATTTTAAATTTATTAAAATCAATAAAAAAGGAATTAATTAATGATTTGAAATTGTAACATAGTTTAAAACAGAACACATTGTAACATAGTTTAAATCGATATTGTAAATAGAAAATATTTTTTGACCAATCATAGTTATAACAATATCAAATTCATATCAGATTCTACGTAGCACATATACATGTGCACATATTGTGACCGATATTAATATATTGTGTTGTCACGAACTAAACTAGAAAAGAACATGATGTTCTGTAGAGATGTTCTGTAAAAACGATTATATTAGTAACTATCTGTGTAAACAGAATTCAATAATGGGAATGAAAGTTTTTGATATCCTAAAAATAATATTTGAAATTAAAATTTTAGACTTAGGATCCATTTCCGCTTTTCTTCAAGCAATTCAATTTATTTATCATATCGAAATGTATGTTTTTCAAAAATACAACTTAAATTTTATTTAATTACTATTAGAAAAATCGCTGATACTTCTGAGACCTCTAGCAAGAAAATTATTTTTTAAATGCTCATTCCAATGAGCAATGAAAATAAAAAAGATGAAGTTGTAATGAATGGATAGAAAGAATGAATACTTTTGCAAAATCAAAAATACTATATAAATATGATATATAAATTAAAACAAAAATAACAATAAACTTTATATAAATAAATTTAAATGTATATATATCATATATTGCAATTATAAAATTATAATTATCATTTTGAGAAATTTTGATATATTTAAGTGTATGTTAAACAAATTAATTAAAAATTAAAAATATAATAAATGAAAATTATTATAATAATATATATTAATTAATAATATATAAATATTGTTCTGTCATAAAGTCAACATAAAATCCTAACAATATCTAATTATTGTTAATAATTTTAAAATGAAAAATCTAAAAATTATTATTTTGTTAGTTTTAGTAGTTTTAATATTAATCTTATTTAATTCAAATATAACTCTTTTATAATATACAAAATTTTAAATTATTTTTTTTTTTTTATACTTCATATCAGATCAATTTAACATTCCTATATATTTAATATTTATATCATAATATTCTTTATCTCGAAAGATACAGTTATTTTTAATGAATGTTTTCATATCTAATTAAATATTTTTTAATGAAGATTTAATGTATACTAATATAATATTTCAAAAGCTATTTTTAATGAATTTTTTTCTATTGTTTTGTCAACAATTTTTTCAGGAAGAGCATATATTATATCTTTCTTATTTACATAACAAATCATCTATAACATTTTTTTATTTATTCATCCAACAATCATTTAATTGACTGTTAACCTAAGCAATAAAAGCTATATAGATTTCAATTTTTTTTTATCTACATGTAAAAAAATTAAATAGAATTATAAATAGCACAAATATTTCTAGAAATATTTTTTTATCTCTTTATCTTTTCTCTTTATCAAAATTCTTCCAAATAAAAAAATCATTTATAAATCATTAATACATATTAACTTAAGATATTGTAATTATTTGTCCAAAAATTTCCCAGAAAAGACAATATAGAGAATCTATCATACATTGTGCATGATTAATTAATAAATTATTGAACTTGAAATTATTGAATTAATAAAGAATTGAACTTAGATTTATTACAAGTAAAAGTTTCGTAAAAAAAACGTGTTAGAAAAAAAATTGACGTATCAATATTCTTTATCAGAATATCGTTATTTATACGTCTCAAGCCGATAAGAAAATAATCCTCGTTCTTGAAATAAGATTTCAGAGAACATTTCTTTACTTTATTAAAGTAATACTGTTCCTTCATTTATAGATTATATTTATATTAATTCTCAATCGATATCTATTTCAAATTATTTTATCTATTCTTTTATTTAAATAATTTCAATAAATTTTTAGAAAAATTCTTATGGAGTTCAAGTTATAAATTTGAACATGAACATAATCAATTCAATTGGTTTCAAATTTTCTGGTTGGAATATTTAAAATTTTATTATATCAGAATTTAGTTCTTAATAATCAATAAATTATGGAAATTATTGATATTTATATTTTAAATTAAACAAATAAAATTATTTTATTTTAAAATTTTATTTTAATATTTAAATACAAAACTTTTTATATTTTAATATATATATATTATGTAGATTTGAAGAGATTAGATTAAATATATCAAATTATTCATTGAAAGGATTTCAAGAAAGGATTATAAATCTTATTTAAAGATTATTTCAAATCAATAATTTTTATAGATATTCATTCTATTCATATTATAATATATATCATGTAAAAATATCATATAAAAACATATTATAACATAAATATATAAATAAAAAAAAAATATAAAATAAAAATATAATATAAATATATAATATAAATATAAAAGAAGTGAAAATAAGTGATTTCTTTGAAATGTATATACGAATAAATATATATAAAAATTAAATACACATAGTTTAAAAAAATTATAATATTGTATAAATAATTTATTAATATTAATTATGATATTAATAAGAATATTAATTTAGTCATACCTACAATTTTAGACTCACAAATTAAAAAAGTATTATTTAAAAAGAAAACACGATATCATCATATTTTTTAAGACGTGAAAATATTTAATACTTTTCATATATTGAAAAATAACTTTATAAATATAATATAATATTACTTTAAAAACAATATTAAAATAAAATTAAAAAGAAAAATAAATTCATATATTTAATAATTGCAAATATCAAAATTTTTTTATGAAAATAATATTTATAAAAATAGTAAAAAGGAAGTAAGTAGGAAGCCTGCTTTTTAAATAATGTCAAAATCAAAATAATAACTTAATCGTTCTTCATTTTCCTATGAATCATTTCCTATTTCATTTATATATTTCATTTATTTATATATTTCATTAAAAATAAAATCCTAAATAATTAAAAAAAAAATAATTATTTGATAGAATAATTGGTAAAATAATTGGTAAAATAATATTTTTAGTACTTCCTAGAAAGATATTTGCAGAAACAAATGAGCAAGCTGGCAATCTGGAGTTATGATAAGAGCTTTATCATTATGTGAGTTTACTTGAAAGTAGATCATTTATTGTTCATAATTTATAATTAGTTTTCTATAATATGAACTAAATTTAAAAAGTAATTATTTCACTTATGATTATAAATTAAAAAAAAATTCTTTTAGTTATTTTGAATTATTTTAACATAGATATATTAAATATTTGATTTAAATTCTTCATAATATGAATATCATAAATTTATATCAAGTGAAAGTTAATTTCTTGTTATTCCAATTTCTTGCTTTGAACTATATCATAAACAAAATAAAATGAATATAGGGAAGCTATTACTATGTTTACAATTTATAGTGAAAGTAGCATACTATTTATAGCTATATATAATTTGATCTAAATTATGATTTGATCTAAATATATAATTTATATAAATATTTTCTTGAATAATATTTTTTTTATATAATCATTTTCATTATATATATTGATAAAAAACATAATTATTTATAAAATATATCAATTTAATAAATCAATTATATTTAAAATAAAAAAAAATCAATTTTAAGTTTTCATAATTTTGTAAATATAGTTAATATTTATAATATTATAGTAAATATATTTATAATTTTAATATTCAAAAATTTTTATATTTATCGAATTTTAAATTTGTGATGTAAATTATATCTAACAATAATCATTAATTTAAAATTTATTAAATTATTAAGTATAATAATTATTATAAAAATTAATCAAATAACTGATCATCATTTATAAATATTATTGATTTCTTTTTTTTATTTTAACTACTATTTTAACTGATTTCCTTTTTATTTTTATCTTATTTATATCTTTATTGCCACAATAGAATATAAAAGCTGATAGTGCAGTTGACCATGATAAATGTATGTAAGGAGATATGAAATAGTAAGAAAGAAAATAGGGAAATGAAGAAATGTCAAATACGATATGATTGATGTATAGATAAACAGGTGCATATGCATTACAGATAAATATTTTATTTTAACTATATATAATTTCTTTTATTATTTTATCGCATCGCACAATTTTTTCATAAATTTTGAAAATAACGAAAGTAAATATTATATATTATATATATATATATATATATATATATATATTATATAATAAAGTGTAATGTAATAATATTATAATATTAAATTTTTTTATAAAATTATATTTATACTATAAATTATACTACTACATACTATATATGATATTTATAAAAAAAATATCAATAAAATTAATAAATTTTAATTTTAATTAAATTTCTTTTTTTTCTTAAATTAAAGAAATTAATTTTTAAAATTTTGAAATATGAAATATTTTCTTTTAAATTTATTGCTATTAATAAAAAAGGAAATATACTAAAACATAAATATACTTAATATTTTACCGTCATTATAAAAAATAAAGATTAACAAACTCTAATGGAAATATATAAATTATTATTAAAAATTTATTTAATTTAATTTTTCAAAATTTTTCTTTATTACATGAATGAAATTTAATATTTATTAATTTCAACTTTCTTGCCTATTTTTGATTTAGATCACAATATATATACTTTTTATTTTTATGTATTTATTTATGTATTTTATTACAAAATTATTGCATTTTAAATAATGGATGTATACAAACAATCACAAAAATATTCAAACATATTATAATTTCATTTTCTACATATTGAGTAAATATACATAAATATAAATAAATAAAGAAATACTACATTATGTTATATTAAAATAATTAATAAATACAAATTCATTTTTTTCTAGATGCTGATCTGAGCATGGGTGCAGGCGCAGCTGGAGGCTCAGTTCTTACTTTGTCAGGATCGGGAGTAGGTGGCGTACTTTCACAACATTGTGCTATCTGTGGTGATCGCGCAACTGGTAAACATTATGGTGCTGCTTCTTGCGACGGTTGTAAGGGTTTTTTTCGACGATCAGTTAGAAAGAAACACGAATACACTTGCAGGTTAGTAGAACTTCTTTTATTTTTCTTTTAGATTAGACTATCAAGAATTCTGAATTTAGATATCTCTTTATATCATATTGAATGATACTTTATGATAACGCAGACAAAGTACAAAATTAGTATAAATACAAAAAAATAAATATAAAATGGAATATATTTTGATATTATAGGAATTAACTATAATTTTTTTCACATGTGACATTGATTCAATCTAGAATTGCAGTGTTTATTCAATAGTTGTTAAAATTAAAATAAATAATTAAAATAAAATAATTAAATTTTATTATGAAATTATAAACAAAATATATAATAATTAATATATAATAATTATAATCATAGTATCAATATCAATAAAGTATAACGGCATGCATTAATTCCCACTTATATCATCTAATAGTTACATATATATTTTATTATTAATCATATATTTTATTTATGAATATTTTACATTTTATATATAAAATCTTTATGACATTTTTAAACTATTAAACAAGATAGATACTTATCAAATATATATAATAAGATAAATATATGTATATGTAAATGTATATGTAAATGAGTTCATCGTTTGTTCTCAAATCTCTTAAATGCAAACATTCTAAAACCTGGTTTCAAAAATAGAAATATTCTTTGATCATGTAAATTATTAACTACTATGCAAGCAAATATGCAAGAATTTGAAAATATCGGATCAAAAGAGAACAATTGAAATTAGTTTTTATTTTAAAAAGATTTCACTTTTTGAAACAAAAAATTTTTTTAAAGATATTCATTTTATAATGATTATATCATATATTTGATTATTATTTATATTTTATCCTTTATAATTGTATAATTCTTGAAAATTCTGAAATTATTCTAAGATGTTTTCCAATTTGATCCGATCCTATCGATGTTTTCAACATTTTCGGATTCTGTATGTATAATATAAATAAAACATAACAAAAATTAAATAACAATAAAACATAACATATTTCAATTCAACTATTGAAAATATATCTCGTAATTACATATGAATTAAAATGTTTCATTTCATCAAAAATCTTTTTTAAAAAATCATATTATATACCATATCAAGATTCTAATCCTATTATTAATATTTAAAAACAAAACAAATATAATACAACAAAAGAAATATAATAAAAGTTATATAAAAAAATATCTATGTCTAGTCTACATATAATATCAAATTTAATTCAAAAAAGAAAATTCTAAAAAAGATCATTTGTTTTTAAATTCTAATTATTCATATTTTTTCTTTAAATATATAATTGAAAAAAAAACTTGATTCAAATATTAATAAAAAGAAATTAATTATTAAAAAAATTATTAAAGCTTTAATATAACTATATAATATAGCTATGTAATATAATATAGTATTAATATTGATAAAAAGTAATAACAATTAATATACATTACTACTTTTTTTTCCACATAAGTTCTAATAAGTTCATAAATTTCTGTCTTTCAGTATTTAGAAAAATTGAGTATTATGAATATATTCAAGATTGATTAATTGATATTATTAAAATTGATATTATTAAAAATTGATATTATAAAATTATATTATTAAAGATACAATAAATACCGATATGATTTTTTTTTCTAAAAATAAAATTTTACCTGGATATATTTTTTATACACTAAAAATATAAGGATGTTATGATTATTTTTAAATGTTGTTAAATAGAATAAAAATAGAAATTAAATAGAATAAAAAAAAATACAATTATTTTTAAGAATCTATTTTTATCTAATAAATAATAAATTAGTTCTTAATTATTTCACATTTGTCACATATTTGAAATATCATTTTTCTATAATTCTTTAATTTAAAAATTAAATATTAAATAATTAATAATAACTAATAATATTTTAATTTATCATTAGAAGCTCTATCTTTTATTTGAATGATGACTGATAAATTTTTATTACTAATTGATAACATTTTTTAATATTTTAATAATAAAAATCTTTAATAATAAATAGAAATTCAATAAATAGATATAATATTAAAATTTAATTTTTATCGATTAAATTGTATTTCTTTTTTAATAATAAAATAATATTGTTGCGTCTGATAAATACTTGATTTTCTATAATATTTCTTTATTTAGAGATTTTTTTATAGTCCCTTAATTTATTTATAATTATTTACATGATACTAATTTACTTATACTAAGCGATATCATGTTTATTCAAAAAACAAAGAAGAATACGAGTGTTCTGTTCGTCGTGTTCGAAAGCGACTTCGTTAAATTAATATTTCAAGTATCAATGACAACTGATGTTATTATTTCCTGCGCTACGGTTTACATTGATCATAATGTTTTACACTCTTATTGTCAATTCGTAACAATATACCTATTAGTATTATTACAATAATATTTTATTATATTACTTAATATATTCGAAATATATATTTTTTTAATAAATCCTTATCTTATTTATTTCAAAGTATATTTAAAATTATAATATAATATATATATATATATATATATATATATATATATATATATATTTATACATTGTAATTTCGAATTATCAAAAATTAAATTAGAAACGATAATTATAATATTAATATTTTTTGATAACTCTTATATTTGTCAGAATTGTTATGTTCATCATATTAATAATCTTCATATTAATAATAACAATAATGATAAAAATAACTTAAAATCATCTTTGTGACTACATTTCTTTGGTCATGATTTACAAATTCAACATGATAAAAAATGAAATATTTATGATAAATAATTAAATAAATCGATGTGTATTAACTATCTGCAAATTAATTTAATTTAATTTTCATATAATTAGATCACGGATTAAAACACGAAAGATATTGTATACAAAAAAAAAGTCTTCATATATTAACTTACAAGAGAAATTTATCTTGAAAAATCTGAGAAATATAATGATAATATTTAAAATTTGAAAATCTGTATATATAGAATGTATATTATATGCAAAGTAATTTATTTTTCAATGGAAAATCTGTTTAAATTCAATGATATTAATCTTCGAATTCTAATTTTCTTTATTTTGTATTTTATTTTCGTATGTAGTTTTGAAAATATCTTTTACAATAGAAAGCATTAAAATTTGATTTTATTTTATATCATTATGAAGTTATATTTTTAAAAAACGAAAATAATATTAAAATTTTAAAGATTGGTGTATTATCTCAAAGTGATATTCTATTGATAAAAATATTATTCCATATATAATTCATTATTTATCATAATATTTTATATATATAAAACAGAATATTATATACATAAATAAAATTATTATTTTGATAGTACAATTTATTAATCAAACTTAAATAAGATATTGTCATGAAAACTTCTATAACTGACTGTATTTAAATACAAAAATCTTGCTTTTTATATTATCTATCTAGTATTGTTTTTTGTAATGATTAAGAAATAAATTTTAAAATTAAATAAAAATTAATTTCACATAAATACAGATATTGTACTTTAATAATAATTTAAAAAATGTTATGAATCAATGAATAATATTTATTTGCCTCCGCAATAATAATATTATAGTATTGTATTAGTTTTGGTGGATATAAACTAATAATTGGACGCTTGTCGAATGCTTTTTGACAGATGCCGTAACAAATGGTATACTTCTTAAAAATGAATAGACTATATAAGTAGTTATACGTGCGGAGCGCATGTCTATCAGAAAGCAAGGTCTCTCAAAATCGCAGCAGGTAATCATGTCCCACGATTAGAGCACGATGAGGTGTTAAAATAAAACTAATGTAATTATCGTATTCGATGGTGAAACTACGTATTCACAATGAAATCTTCTTAATAAGTGACATCCGTGCCTTCAGAAAACTGCCTTTTTAATTCAATTGAGAGGGTATTTTCTCAGTAGAGCACATCAATAATATTGCTGCAGGTGTCCGATTCGTAACACTAAATTCGAGGAAATTTCTCGCTTGGATAGTGATCTGTATATAAAGATCTCACGATAAACAGAAACCGATCAGCGCATTTCTCTTATAGTTCCTCGAACCAGAACAATGTTATTTGTATTTGAATCAGTCGCATCTGGAATATGTTACTATTAGAATCGATTCAGCTAATCTGAAATATATAATCATAAATATATGAAATATACGTCAAAATATACAATTATAAGTATCGGCAAATTCTCAAAGATAGTCTTCTCAGATAATATCTTTCTTTATTTAGGCTTAATAGAGATAAGAACAAAAAGAGTTTTTTTATAAAATTTCTCCGAATATAGTATTTATAAATCTCGCGAATAGAACTCTCAAACAATATTAATCTTCTATTATTCCATTCCCAATTAACATAAATTTCATATGTTCTCACATTGATCCAAAATACGTACAAGGATGCATTCGTTAATATTTTATAGAAAAATATGCATATATATAAAGTTCTCATACAGGAACATTTATAAAATGCAATAAATAACATTTTCTAATAAAATTTTATTATTTATTTCATGACCACATTCATTTTTAAGTAAACTAACAGCCATATATATTTTCTTTAACTCGTCATAAAAATTCATGCAATATAGGGTTAATAGTGATTCCGTTATGATAATGTTAGATTTCATATTGCAATTATTATTAAATAAACAATTAGAAAATTCGAATGAAATTTAAAAAAGTTATATTCCTAATCCTTCTTATCTCAATCGAAATAAATTTTCATTTATATAATCTGTTAAAATTTTTTATTTGACTAAACATTTTATGAATTTTATAGATTTTAAGGATCAACAATTTTTTGCAAAATATACTAATTAATTAAAAAAAAAATACTAAAATGTACTAAGACAAAAAATATTGTATTTACTATAAATTTATTGCGTAAATTCTTTTTTGTCAAAACTTTTAAATTCATTTAATATGTATCGCTCATTTGCTACAATAATAATATAATTCAAAATTTTTAATTTTTAAGTTATTGGTAATGTCTTTAAACAAATAGTATAGGCTGCTAGAATAATGTTTTGAGAGAAGAACATAACGTTTTTGAAAAAAGAATTTGAACGATTTTTCCCTTTACATATCTAGAAACAATTCGGTTGGAACGTCAATGATCCTGAGGCCTAAGACACTTCTAACCATATCTACCAATCTGAACAGTAATCATCATCATTCTACTTGAAAAGAATTATTGCAAATATGTACGAAACAGTTTCTTAGAAAAACAGCGGACTTTATAAATGATATAGCATCTTAAATTTATTCTAGAAATTTTCCTTAGATTGAGGATATCGCTCAATCAGGAGGCTGGTCCACAATGTTTTGAATACCTATGTACCTTACTGAAAACCTGTAGCTCACAAGAGCATGGAGAGGGCTTTAGAGAGTATCAGCATTTTAACAAAACTGTCCGAAATCTCAGAACTTCCAGAATATTAGAATCATTTGAATTCTCAGAACTGTCCGAATGCTAAAAACTTTCAAAACACTAGAACCATCCGAATTCTTAGGATCTTTAGAACTTTCGAATTTTTAGAATTCTTTAATTTTATAAGAACCTTCTGAACTTAGAACTTTATCAAATTTGCCACCTCGAACTTTAGTGATAATGTAAATGTATTCATGTGGACTTTGATTTTGATCATCTTACAATCGCACTTGCAATAGCAAACTTTGTTTTATTATACAAATTTATTACTATATACCATAATTCTAGAAACGAATTGAAGGTAACAAATAAAGAAAATATTTTTCTCTATATTATAGTAAAATTCTGTAAATGATTTTTTGAATTGTGAACTTTCTCTTTAACATTTTAATATGTAAATCTTTTTACTAATTTTTATAATAATTCAAAATATTAAAACTTATTTTCTTTAAAATCATACTTTTGAAATTATAAATATAAATCAATATTATAGCAAATAAATTGATGTACATATAAAAAATCATTAAAAAAAATAATTGTATAAAATATTCTAATCATAAAAGTAATCAATACATACAAACTAATAATAATCTTCGAGACTATATTTGAATAAAAATGAAATTATTATTTATTTGAATGTATATATTTATATTATATGCATTTTGTAATATGCATATATTTCTATTATCTTAAAAATATTATTAATAAGTTATAAACACAAATTTCATTATTTAAAATTAATTATAATTTTAAAAATTTTACAATAGTTGATAGAAGTTTAATTTAAAATATTAACGTAAAAATTTTTGGATTTTTTTTTTATGTATTTTTATAAATTTGTATAGAAAAATAATAATCTTAATTGCTTTAGGAATTATTTGCATGTAAAATTTTATACTTACTAATAGATTTTTTATTTGAAGAATAAAATTCGTATGTTAAAAGAATAAAATTCTTCAAGTTAAATAAGACCAGCGTGACAAATTCAAATTACGTATTGATAATTTACTTTTTTTTTTTTTTGCTTTATGTTTACTTTTTCTTTTTTTAAAGTTAATTAATTATTAATCCAAGAGATATAATAATTAATCTGTACATAGTGATTATTTTTTTATTTTTTTTTTTATTATTTTTTTAATTAGTTATAACTAAAAATATATTTTTTTGTTACAGATTTAGTTATTTTTTTATTTTTTTTTATTATCTTTTTAATCAGTTATAACTAAAAATATATTTTTTTGTTACAGATTTAGTAGAAATTGTATAATAGACAAAGACAAGAGGAATCAATGTAGATATTGCAGATTAAGAAAATGTTTCAAGGCTGGCATGAAAATGGAAGGTGAGCACAAAAATTTTATTGATTTATTGTTTTTTACTTTCAATTAAAAAAAAAATAATAAAAAAAATATATTCTTTCTTTCTTAAATTATTTTGAATTATTAGAATTAATCATAAATGAATGAAATTTTAGATTTTCATAATATTTAAAAAAAAAAATATATATTAAAATAAAATATATTAAAATAAAATATTTAAAAAAAAAATATTTATATCAAAAAAATATTTTTAAAAGTAATTTATTGTAATACAATAATTTTTTAAAATAGAGTACACATTAATTTCAATGAGTATGAAATATATATATAATTATAATAATATGTTAGTAATTTTAGTTATGTATAATTAACATAACTACCGTTCACATATTAATATTCGAGACACATATATAATATACAAAAATATTTATATGCAATATTAAACATATTGTACTGAAATAAGTATATTTTAGTATAGTTATATTTTTAATTTTTTAATTTTAATATAGTTGTATTTAATTTAATCAATGCTACGTTATTAAAAATTAAAAATCTTTGTTTTAAATTATTTTTCAGGAAGAGTAAATTAAATTCAATAAATCTTCAATTGATGTCTTTTCAAATTATATGTATGTAATTTGCAACAAAATGATGGCATATTCTATGATTTTCAATATTTCCCAAGATTAATACAATAAATTAATAAATTTTACATATATATTTATATAAAATATTCTATTCTTAATAATATAAAAAAAATCAACCGCACTTTTTTTTATATATTTTTTTTATATTTATATTTTTTTATATAAAAAGTAGATTAACAAAATGAGAATACAAATACAATAAACAAATTATTATTTGTTGTTTGAAAATTGAAAGATTTCTTATATATTTTAATAATTTATTAATAATATTTTAATATTTTAATAAAAATTGCTTATCACATTAGATTTCAAAGATAAATGAATAAAAAAATATTAATATTTATTATATTTCAAAAAAAATACTTCACAAATAATAATTTTTTTCCAATCTTTTTGTCAATCACATCATTTTTTTTTATAAAATGAAATTTGATTTATAATCATAGAATTTTTTTTATGAAATTATTCTATTCTTAATTTATATGTAACATGAATAAAATTATTATATACTATTTTGTTTTAATCCAAAAAAGATATATTGAAAAAAGTATATATACATATAAGTGCAGATTTTTACTCTATTAGCTTTCTAGAAAAAAATAAACTATAAATATATTTCTTATTGTTAATAGATTGAAAATAAATTAATTTCAAAGTAATATATCTTGATAAAAAATAATCTTATGATGATAAATCAAATCTGATTTTATTTTTATATTATATCTGAGTTTATATAAAATAATAATAATCTAAGAGATCGAAATCAGAAAATGATTTCGATTTGATACTCTCATAACTCTCAAGAAAAATATCCCTGAACATCAACATTTGAGAATCAAATAGCTGCATTTATCACACGAGTGTCATGCGAATAGTTTATTCATTTTTTTTTGTTTTTTTTTTTTAATATAACAGAATGCATAAAAAAATTATTTAAATCGTTAAAATGAATCATCATATTAATATATATTATATCAATGTATTAACATATATTTATCGAAAATATTCGAACGTCAATTATAGAGTAAAAGAATAAGAAAAAAATTTTTTTACTTTTATGTTTAAAATTTATAATAAACTATACACTCTATTGTGTTATTGTAAACTTACATATACTAAATAATTAATATGATAGAATAAACAAAAACATTTATCAATTTTAATATGATTTGTAATGATTATCTTTTTATTTGAGAAAAATTTTTAATCTTTTTGTTAAAAAATCCAATTGAATCATTATTATTTGATATATCTATTATTGATTTTGTAACAATGTAACAATTTTATTACTATATTAATGAAAACTATTGAAATTAAAATATATCAATATATCAATATATTAAATATATATCAATATCTCAAACTTTAATTGATAAAATTCTAAATATTAGGGTGTCCCATAAGTTTCTTTCGCATCATGCTAAAAATGACTGACTATTTTTATAAACATATAGGCTTATCTATAAACCATTTATAGCAGGTTTCAATCGTCTCTTTCAACGTACATTTCGTTAGTGACACAGTTTCTTTTAAAACTTTTTTCTACACTGTTCAATATGGATAGCCAAAAGAAATATTTGCGGCATGTTATGCTTCATTGTTTTAAAAAAAAAAAGTGATTATGCAAATGATATTGCAGAGAAGATTTGTACTGTTTACAAGAGTGGTACTACGACTATTACGATCGCCCAGTAGTGATAGATACGGACCTTATCAAGGCCATACTAATTGAAAATTCGCGATATAATATGCACGACATAATGGATGCCACTACATTCCCAAGAAAATAGTACATAATCACTTGATTAAGATGAAATATGTCAATCGATGTAAAGTTTAGGTTCTACAGATATTGATATGACCGACCTTATGAACTGCGTCTCTACGTGCGATTTCCTTCTTCAATGACATAAAAGAGATTCTTTTTTAAAGATGTCACTGGAAACGAGACTACTTTTTGTATCAAAATGTGCATCGAAAACGCATTTGATTTAAAGATAATAGACTTTCAAATGTCGCGAAGCCTAAATTTCATTCAAAGAAAATTCTTTTGTCCATTTGGGATTAAAAAGATCTACTATGAATTCCTTTTTCAAGATGAAATCATCAATTTTGCAAAATATTATAATCAGCTTGATAAATTTGAAAGACATCATAACAGAAAAACAGCTAAAATTGGTAAACCGATGAAATCATAATACAAAACTGCATGTTGACTGTAAGAGAAAAGCTGTTACAATTTGATTGGGACATTCTACCGCATCTTCTGTATTCCCCAGATTTTGCTCTATCTATTATTTCTTGTTATTAAAAAATTCTCTCCATGATAAACAGTTTTAATCCGTAAGCGAATATTCCACTTCGAGAAATATTTTGCAAATAAACTCCAACAATTTTGGGAATAATGGAAATAATGAGACTTCCATTTTTGAAAGATGAAAGAAAGTAATAGAGCAAAACGATTCATATATAACATAATAAATCCACCTTAAACAATAAATATTATGTGTATTCATTTCGTATCAAAAAAAAGAAAGAAATTAAAATTATGGGGCATCCTAATATAACAATTAAATACAGTATATTACAATAAAATAATAATTTAATAACAATATTTTTGAATTTATATTTATAAACCACAACATAATTATAAACCACAATTTAATATATATCAATATTAAATTATGTTAAATTTTTAATAAATTACGACATAATAGCCATTTAAACTGTTCGATATTATAGTTGTAATAAAAATCTCAATAGAAAATGTAATATTAATTTTATATGCAAAAATTACTTTCGAGTATATATAATTTTATTAATATACATAATATATCATACATAATATATTAACTACGAATTATCTGAATTTTGAAAATTGTATATTATAAATATTTGGAAAATATCGTTATAAACATATATATTACCACATAGCAAAAATGTTAAGAAATATTAATTATGAATATTTGTCTTTTTGAATATTGAAGATTTATATTTTAAATTTAATATAATAATATAACATAATGCTTTTTGTCTAAATATATATAATTTATTTTTATTCTTCGTTATGTCATTTATTTTTAAAATCAATAATTACATTGAAAATATAATTCTATTCTAGTATATTTCTTTATAACGATTCTAATTTTTCCACTTATGATATAAACAAATAAAAATAAAATTTCAGAATTTTGTAAAATTTGAAATTAATTTGAAATTAATTTGAAATTAATATATAATTTTATTTAAATTTTATTAAAATATAATGTAAATTATTTTTAAAAATAAACTAAAAAATTAAAAAAAAATGTAAACATATTAAGTATTTCTGATAATTAATTTAGACGATATATTTCAAGTTCATTAAAATTTGTTATGTGTATTCTATTTCTATCAATTAAATATTTATTCATATTTAAAATTTTTCAAATTGATTGATCGCTGAAATAAAAATTAAAATTATAATAAATATTAGATTATATTAGTTTAGAGAAATATTGAAAATCATAAGATATCTTATAGATTCGCAGTGTAGAATATATATATATTTATTTTGTAGTAAGTATATATATATATATACTTTGAATTATTAATTAACTATCTATAGTTGTTATTTCTATAGAATAATAAATTCAAATAAATATTGCATTAAATTTTAAGAAATTGCAGATTTTCTGTTTATGCATTAATTTTTTATTATTCATTAAATTATATCAAAATAAATTAGAAATGCATTAAAAAAATTGAAACAGAATTAAAAACAGTTACAGTCGAAATAATCTTTGAATAATTATATTTAAAAAAAGATTTTAAATTGAGAATTATTTTTAAAAAAAATTTTAAAAAATATTAATAAATTTATATTGATATCCCAATTTAAAGTCTTTTTATTTTTCAATTATATTTTATAGCTTATTAAAAAAAAAAATAAAATAAAGATAAAAAATAAAATAGAAATAACACTAGAGACAATTAATAAATATATAAGAAATACATAAGATGGCATAAATAAGAATAATTAAAAATTATAAAAGAATATTTATTAAGCAATTAATTAATAAATTTAAAATAAATATCCCAACAATATTCATATATATATATATATATATATATATATATTTATAAGTTATCATCATTTGTTCGTGTCACATTTTTTAAGTTTACAATCATTAAATTTGCGATAAAAAATTTGCTAATTTAATCTTATTTGCTATTTTTGAGGATCTTTTACTAAATAATTTTTTAACATCTTTATTTAATCTTAATTTAACATAATAAAATATTAAAGTCTTTGATATTCTTCATGTTATTGCTCAATAGTAATAGCCATATTGTAGTCGTACCTTTAAAATTAAGGATTTAAACCGAATATGACAAACATAGTAGAACAAAAAAAAACTAAATATAAAAATATAAAAAGTGACCTTGTAAAAGTATCTTGATTGACTGTTAAAAGTAGTGATAGTTGATTATTGAAAACGATCATATGAGATTTATAAGAGGAAAGAATCCTTCGCTAGGATTTCCTATCTTCATATGATGCTGTTGAAAATCATGCATATATAGATTTTATTGTCTTTCTTTATCACATAATCGAATGTGTTCATATTAACAAATAGCAGTCTAGAAACAAAAATGCACGTATAAATAAATCGCATTCTTTCTAGGATTTTTCAACAGTAAATATAAAATTTTACCTGATAGAACAATCAAATAATCAGGCAAAATGGATATATCTCCAAATTTAATTTTTCGTTAAGATCGAATTTTCTCTAACGGAAGAAAAAATTAAATAGACAGAATGTAATATTAAAAAATATAAAATATAATAGACAGGACTGGTAGCTTGAACAGCTGGCAATTAATACAAAACTAGTGAACAAAGAATATGAAATTGATAAAAATATAGCACAAGTAAAAAACTCAAAACGGACATATAGACTTAGAATATTATGGACTTAAGACATTTTTATTATTTACTAAATAATCATATTCTGAATTCACAAATATCATTATTATCATTAAAATAAATGCATAATATATACAAGATTCAATATACATACAAGGTTCAAATAAAATATAACAAACTGTTTTTTCAGAAATCATTAAAGATATCAAATTGATTTTTGTTTTAAATTAAATAATTCAAGAGATTGTTTTTTATAGCAAATTTATTTGAGATAATTGTAAAGTGAAAAAAGAGATTAGATTTTTTTTAGATTTTAAAAATTAATATTATTTTATTATTTATATAGAAAAATAATTATATAGAAAAATACATATGGATTGCAATTAAAACTAAAATTTATAAAAATTTATGAAAATTATGATAAATTTATGAATAAATAAAACATGATTTCAGCATGATAATATATTTTGTTTATAATATAATATTTTAAAAATTTCAAAACAAATTGATCAGAACTGATCCTGTATCATGACTGATCTGATGTCATTAATTTTTTTTATAATTACATAAAAGATAAAATGATAGAAATTGCTTCTACAGCAAAGAATGATATGAAAAGAAAAAAAATACATATTGCTTGTACATCTGTTATTTCAAATGTATTATTTAAAAGTAAATGTATTATTTATGTATTTAATGTACAAAATAATATTTGCAAAAGATTTAATACTTATATAATTATATATTATGTATAATATTTATATATTTAATAAAATAACAGTATTGATATTTTATATTTTGCATTTTCTTTTCGTGTTTACAAAACTTTCCTAAAATAAATTTTTTGCCTTAATTTTAAAACTATATACAATAAAAAAAAAATATTTCAAAAACAAGAACTATTTATATAACAAAAAAAATATTAAAAATGTTTAAATTACTTTTTATTTGAATTACTTCGTGTATATATATATATATATATATATATATATATATATA